TGTCGCAGTCCTTTTATCGCATTTTTTTATTCTTGGCAACTAAATCAATTTCAATACGGTTTTGTTCAACGTTGGTGACCATGGTCCTCTTATATTTCATATTTATTTATAAATTTTAACTTTGTTTTTTTTTTGTTATTAAATATAACCAATATTTATTTTTGATTTTGTCTGTGTATTTTTATTTTTAAGCTATTTGTGCGGTAAGTTACTTTAATTCGTTATATATATATAGTCCGGCATTTTTTTTTTTTTTTAAAAAATTTCGAATTTTTCAAAACGCTCGAGTAAGTTACTTAAATTTACATTTTAATAATTAAATGGATATCTGAAGCTGTTACTATATATAACGTTTCAATTCACGTGGCGAACAAGTTTGGTTATAATAAATTTCGCAGAATAGCAAAACCAAAGATACATCCGCATTATAGATGTTTTATAGATGATTTTCATAATTTTAACTTGATTATATTTATAGTTAAACAATCATAGTTTTGTATCATAATCTAATTTTACTTTTATATGGCATTCCTATATATATTAATTTATTTACTGTTAATAAAATTAATTGGTGAAAGGTTGGAATATTGTTAAAATGCAAGAAGAGGTATAGTTTGGTAATATCATTGTTAGCATATATGCATATATGCGTGTATATATATATATATATATATATATATATATATATATATATATATTAGAGTGGTCCTTAATTTGGACATTTTTGAATTTCCTTGCTCTCATGGGCTCAAATGGTTCCAAATTGTAAAAAACAATTCTCTGAAAGTTTTAGCTCTTAATATTAACTTTTAGAGAGTGCGCAATTCAATCAAACTTTGTATGGAAATAGCATGAAAAAAAATAAAACTCGTATGAAAATTTAAAAAAAAAAATAGGCAAAACTTAGCGACAAATGAAATAAAAGTGAAAATTCGTGTCATTTTTTATTGAAAATTCGACGCTCTGCAAAATTTTTTCATGCTGTTTTCATACAAAACTTTGATTGAATTGCGCTCTATCTAAAAGACAATATTAAGGGCTAAAACTTTCAGAGAATTGTTTTTTATTAATTTGGGAGCAAGGAAATTCGAAAATGTCCAAATTAAGGACCACCCTAATATATATATATATATATATATATATATATATATATATATATAATGAATCATGCTGCTATTTTATTCAAAAGCAATGCCTAAAGCTTGCCATGAGATTTGTAGTCAAAATTAGTTTAAATATATTCTGGCTTACAAATTTAGCAAGTCATGCAGTTAATTGTTATGTGTGATTTGTGATCCTATTAAAAATTGCCTTTTCGTGCAAATTAACAATAACTAATTCTGTAGAAATTGTATGTATTATATAAATGGTATATGTGGAACCACATCAGTTTTGAAAGTTTTAAATTAGGAATACATTACGTTATTGAATTAATGTTCATATATATATATATATATATATATATATATATATATATAAATTAATATTGAAAATAAATATATATATTATTAAACATTACAGTAGTGATTATTTATTATTTTTACCTACTTTTTTCCTACGTTTTTATTATTTATTTTAAACCCTTTTATAATTTTGCGTTTTGCATTGTTCAACATTGTTCTGGGAACACGCTTCAAATGTTTGGTCTTACGACGATCTTTTTTTATTTATTCGAAAATAATTCAACAAATTCTAAAACGTATGGTATAGTATCTGTTACAGTTCCGACAAAAAATGAATTGAGAAAATGGGAACATTTTCAAATAATTTAAGGGGGGCGATACATGTAACAAGAAAAAAAAATCGATTTTTTTTTTTCATAAATCGTTACAATAACATCTCAAAAATATGCCTGTAAATATTCAAAACAAAATTATCATTATTTATACAATAAAAACTCATTTAAGTGCCACGCCTCAACTCTTATCTGTTCTATGTGTCAAAACTTTAAACGCGTTTTTCTCAAAACGACATTTTTGAAACTTGCGGGCGGGATAACTCAAAAAGTTCTCAACCGATTCCAATGAAATTTTGCACACATCTACTTTACAGTAATAGCTTCTAGTTAAACCTCAAACATTCCAAAAATTTTTCAAAAATTAACCCTTTTACCAAAAAAACCATTGAAAAAAAGGTGAAAAATCGAACTTTTTTTTTCTAAGGTGTGCCAATTTACGATTTTGTGACTTTTTTAATTTTTTTTTGGTTTAACTAGAAGATATATGTTTTATGAACACGTACAAACTAATTTTTTTAATTCAGATCTTGTGTAAGTTATTGATTTCTCAGTCAATCTTTGGCAAGAAATGAAGGACTAATTGACGATGAGTTTTATTGATTAAGAAGTTTTCATTATTTCCATCATTGGGGAAATAACCCCAATGGACGGATTCGGTCTGCATCAATAATTAATTAGTTAACTAATTATGGAGAATAGCGCAATCGAAGACTCAAATTCTTCACACGCGATTAAATGCTGCCGGTGAATGGCACAAATACACCATTGGCATGTTATCTGGTAGTAATGTTTGATGGTCGTCTGAACTTTATCCAGCAGGTGGAACACGTTATGGCTAAAGTGTCAGCAGTTAGAGCTAGTCTTGCTAAACGATGGAGGTCGAAATTAGAGCAGAATTATATTATTGTCTTCAGTGATTACTACGTTGCTAGCATATGGTTATCCATATGGGCCGATACTCTCGAAGCTTAATTATCATGGAGAATCGCTGAACCAATATACCGTCGAGAGTTCTTTGCGACTTTCGTATCAGAAATCATATCAGAAGAAGCAGTTTGCGTCATTACGGAAACTCTGACTCAAAGTTTTAGCAGTGAAAAAACTTGTTAAGAAAAGATTTATTAAGGTTTTATGTACGTATATGCAGGGCCGCATTTAGAAATTTGATGCTCTGGGACACTAACGAAAATGCCGCCCCATCCCTGAAATTTTACTTAAATAGTTGTTATATCTCTATTTATACTATTTGACTTGCAGAAAATTTATTACGCATTAAATACTAACTATAGTGTTGTATGGCATTGTGCTTAAATGCAAATTGCGGGAACTTTCTGTACCAAAAATTTAAATTTTTTCGAAACTTACAAAAACAATTTTTGAAAAAACTTGAAAATTTTGATTTTTTTATATTTTAATTTTTTTCTAAAGTAACCGCAGTAGAAATATCGAAGCATGTAAGCGCCACGTTCCAGACTAACATTTAACCCATAGAAATATAACAATAATTGTACTTAATAATAAAATTCTTATAAAATATCTGGTAACTTCCAGCATCAGTTTGCCTTAAGGCACGACTAGATAAGCTTTGGAAGTGCACAAATTCGATAGCTATAAGGAGTGCTCAAGATAGGAAGAATATATTATATTTTTCTTAAACTTTCAGCTCGTTTACGAATCTCTTATTACCCAAGTTGCCAAATTTGGTAATAACTTATCAACCAATTTGATAGTTTAGTCATGGTTATTCTGGTTCATAGATAAATATGCATGGTTATGCCATAAGTAAACATAAAGTAAATAATGGGTTATGCTATCAAATATCGCTCGGCAACCCCGCGCTCCTAATGGATTCAAATTAATGACTCAAAATTTGAAATGAAAACTAATGAATTTTAAAAATCGCTTATTTGAAACTAAATTTTGCATTACAATCGTACTATGTTTTGTTAATTATATTTCTTGAAATGAAAAATGTTATTAAGAATTTTATTCTCACCCCGACTGCCTCTACTGTAAATCTACCACTGTGTATATGTAAACATATATATAACTTTTTTTGTTCAAGATTTTTCAACCCTTTTGAACGGTGCCGTCTTGAACTCCTATTATTGAACTCTTTAGTTATTGCTCTCTGTTACTATTTTTTTGTCATCGCAATTACTTGTTTCCATTTCATTTTCATCCTCATTTCAATCACTTTTACATATTTTCAATTACAATTTTATTTTCGTATTTTAATTTTTGTGTTTTTGTGTTTATTTTCAATATTTTAGTTTGTTAACACCTTTTGCGTGTTTTCGTTTTTAAATTATATTTATTGTTAGTTACTGCATTTTTTTTTTATTCATTACGTAATTTTTTTATATTTAATTATATAATATATAAATAATTTTTATAATGATTTTATAAATAAAATGATAATTAAGTCTTATTTTATTTCTTTTAGTCGCTGCGTCGAAGAAGGTGCAACTTGAGACTAGAAACTGCAGAATAAAGAAATGATTATCCAAAATAATTGTGTTTTATTTTGTGATATATATAGTTTAAGCCTACTAGAAAAACAACTAGAAAGCGCGCTAAACGTACTTTTCAAAGTGATATATCTTTAAAACGGTAGCTCTCAGAAAAAAAGTATTAATACATTTTTTGTAAACAATATTATGCTCTACAATTTTGTCTTAGGTAATTTTACGATAAAACTGACCATGCAGCCGAAAATCGCAAAAAAATCATTTTTTTTACCTTTGACTTTGTACCAATTTTTTAGCTTGCACCGAAACGATGAGGACTTTTTGATATTTATTTTATAATTGTATTTTGAGCAATTTTACAAAGTTACAGCCCATTATGAATTATTGTAACCTTCACCCTTTCTTAAAATTGACCGGGCTATTAAGAAATGAATGAAATATTGTTATAAAATTTGAATTTCAATTTTCTACTTTTAAATGCGATACAAAAAAGGCACTTCGTACGATAATTAATTATATAAACGAAATAAGCATTTACAAAAATTTTTATTCTATAAAAGTTAATAATACAAATCACAGTCAAATACATTCACATGCAATTGACTGTTTATAAGTTTGTTTATAAAAAACAATTGTACTTTCAAATATAATACATGTTTGAGTCATGATATTTTTTGAGTGCTAGTAATTTAAAATTGGCGGTATGTAATATCAAAAAGCTTGTCACTTCGACGCCATTTAATTTTGCGATCACGTGACTATGATGCTTTGCTTCAATTGGTTGAATTTAGCGTTCTTGCGCTACCCGAAGACGCAATAAGAATGAACACAAACTAAAACCAAATGAAGTCAAAATGCCGTCGGAATCAAAACCTTTGTTGACAGCTCAGACAGAAAAACCTAATCATTACTCGTAAGTAATAAGTAGGTCTTTCATAGTGTGTCCAAAGTGAAAATGAATCTGTGATTTAGTGATCTGTGAGATTTTTATTTAAAGCTTGTTTCGCATTTTGCAGATATTTGAAAGAATTCCGCGTCGAACAGTGTCCGTCATTTTTACAACACAAATGCACTCAGCATCGGCCTTTTACATGTTTTCATTGGCATTTTATGAATCAAAGACGTAGGCGACCTGTTAGGAAGAGAGATGGTTCTTTTAACTATAGCGCAGACAATTATTGTACAAAATACGATGAAACTACAGGTGTTTGCCCCGATGGAGACGAGTAAGCATTTTGACTTGTGTTATGCTTTATGTTAAGATAAATGTTGAATTTCGCTATATAATAGGTATACTGTTGGCCATGTACATATATTGTTTTTTAAATCCAATTGCAAGTAATATGAGCGTTGTTTTATGTAACAATTGTCCCATTTGTCATTGTTTGATTTTATGATGGCTTGTGTCAGACTTGACAGTGTTGACAAGCGATGCGAGCTTATGTCAAATAAAGGACGCCAAATTGTTTTGAATGTTTTATTATGTAATTATCATTATTTGTAGCACTTGCTCATTGCTATTTTATAAAATATTGTTAACACAAGCATTTTATAAAATAAAACTATTATTCAGAAATGTTATTTCAAATCTTGTATTCTTAATATAGTTGTATTTTTCATTTTTGCATATTCATAGATACTAATGTAGTTGTATATTATATATATATATATATATATATATATATATATATATATATGCAAAAATGAATTATAAATAAGTTGTTTGTATTATGTTTTCTTGATTTCATGTTACAGAATTTAGTAACTCTTATTTTTATCAACTTTTACAATAATACAATTCTTTTAAGTTGTACATTTTTGCATCGCACGGCTGGTGACACTGAAAGAAGGTATCATCTGAGATATTACAAAACGTGCATGTGTGTACATGACACTGATTCAAGAGGTTATTGTGTGAAAAATGGACCCCATTGTGCATTTGCTCATGGTAATCATGATTTAAGGCCACCTGTTTATGATATCAAAGAATTACAAGCTCTAGAAAATCCGGAAATTGACGCTAATGGAGCTACTAGCAATGGTCCAAATGTTTTAGATAAGGAAAGGAATTTAATGAACGAGGACCCAAAATGGCAAGGTATTTCAATATGCAATATATAATTTTAAATAAGGAACCAAACATATGGGAATTTTAATTTTGGCAGAAAATCTGATTTGCTCTTTTTTTTCTCAACATTTGAGATCATTCTGAATCGTTCATCTACACTTGAAAAAGTATGCAACTGTTTATGTATTTGGGTCAAAATTAGACCTATTATCAACCATATTTTTAAAATACATAAATACGTGCACAAATTTGCCCACAAAAATACTGAACCAATTTTTAAAATTTAAAAACTATTTTAAAGCTACTTTAGATATCAGCTTGGAATCCAGCTTGTTGGTTTTTGTTGAAGATCAGTCAGGTTATTTTTGTTGAAATGTTACAAATTATTGAAAAAAAAAAATTTTGTTGATTTTGATGAAAATTTCTAGCGTTATAGAGTACATAGTATTAACATACATTCTAAAATAATATAGGCCAATAAACAGTGGCTTAATTATAAAAAATCATCAAAGTAGTCGCCATAAATTTAAAGGTTTCTAAGCTATTACTGATTAAGTCAATTATTCACACACGTTATGATGTTTAATTTTTTGTGGTACAAATTTATTTATTTTATCTATAGCTTGTTTTTATTACTATCATTAACTAAAAATAATTTATGATTTTATGAAATATTATTTATTTTTCAGATACAAATTATGTATTATCCAGTTATAAAACTGAAGCATGCAAAAGACCACCTAGGTTGTGTAGACAAGGATATGCGTGTCCTCAATATCACAATAGTAAGGATAAAAGAAGGAGCCCTAGGAAATATAAATATCGGTATTCCGGAAAATTATTTAATATATTAATCATTATTATTTAATATTTTATCTTTTATATTAATTGAGCACTGAATATGTCAAATGTGTTTATTCTTGAGTGTAGTGCTCCTACTTCTTCATTTTATGAAACTTGCTCTATGTGTTCAATCATAATAACAATTGACTACTCATAAACCTTTTTCTGTACTCACATAGACTAAATATATTTATCTATTTATATTATTTTTATGTGCAATTAATAAACATTAGTATTTATTTATTTATTAATAAGTGTTACAGTATCAATGGTCATTTAAAACATTTGTGCCACAGGTCAATGATTCATTTAAAACATTTGTGCACATTATCAATTCATTTTCTTATTATTGTGAGGAAAGTTAATTGAGATAAAGTTGACAAATCTTCATTGCTAGTTCAATGATAGTAAAAAGTACTTTTTTAAGTGGATTTATTGCTTTTTTTATTTCAATTTCATCATTTAGATCAACACCATGTCCAAATGTAAAGCATGGAGAAGAATGGGGAGAACCTGGAAATTGTGATAGCGGTGATCAATGCCAATACTGTCATACTAGAACTGAACAACAATTTCATCCAGAAATTTATAATCTACTAAATGTAATGATGTTCAGCAAGCTGGATATTGTCCTAGGGGAGTTTTCTGTGCTTTTGCCCATGTTGAACGTAAGTTCAGTATTATATGAAAATCAATAATGTGTTCAATCATAATAACAATTGACTACTCATAAACCTTTTTCTGTACTCACATAGACTAAATATATTTATCTATTTATATTATTTTTATGTGCAATTAATAAACATTAGTATTTATTTATTTATTAATAAGTGTTACAGTATCAATGGTCATTTAAAACATTTGTGCCACAGGTCAATGATTCATTTAAAACATTTGTGCACATTATCAATTCATTTTCTTTATTATTGTGAGGAAAGTTAATTGAGATAAAGTTGACAAATTTCTCATTGCTAGTTCAATGATATAGTAAAAAGTACTTTATTTAAGTGGATTTATTGCTTTTTTTTATTTCAATTTCATCATTTAGATCAACACCATGTCCTAATGTAAAGCATGGAGAAGAATGGGGAGAACCTGGAAATTGTGATAGCGGTGATCAATGCCAATACTGTCATACTAGAACTGAACAACAATTTCATCCAGAAATTTATAAATCTACTAAATGTAATGATGTTCAGCAAGCTGGATATTGTCCTAGGGGAGTTTTCTGTGCTTTTGCCCATGTTGAACGTAAGTTCAGTATTATATGAAAATCAATAATAGTTTTCGAGTTTAAATGGAAATTTGAGAATAATTTTAAATATAGGATGATTTAATTAGATTATATTCAAGTTTCATATATCCTTTTATTCATATATGTAAAATGAATAAAAAAAAGTAGACTGCATATTACATTATTGAAAATCAGAAAACTCAACATTGAATTTCTTATCAAAATACTGAATAATATAATTTCCATAAAATAGATGAAAACTAATAATTTATTCTATATTATAACTCTGACAAATTGTGGGACAAATATTATTGCAATGTTTGAGAATCTGATATGTATTGGCTGATTAGACTATTACATAAGTAGTATATTATGCAGAGGGCTGTGTTGCAGAGGAGATGGCTCTGGCACGTGAATTGAATGCACCACTTGATTGCGGTACCAACTTAGCAGATATATTATCTAGTGCACTACCGCAGACTCTTTCAGCAGTGGACAAGAAAGATAAAGCTGGAAGTGACTCATCTGTGAGTACTTATAATTGCTAAATTATTGAAATCACTATTAAGATAATTTTGCATTTACTGCTAACTTTTGACAGAATGGGAGTGGAGAGGTGTCTGAATCTGCTTCAACAAGCAGTATAGGATCAAATAGTTCACATAGCAAAGCACCTGGTTCACAGTTGACGCATGGGCAAAATAAAAATATCTCTAGCATTTTGAATTATACAGCTCAAATGCAATTTGGCCTCTGTGGTCAGGAGTATAACAATGACATAGCCAAACAAATGTTGTCCTTAGACAATGACAGTATGTTGGGGACTATGGACAAAGAACAGAAGCGCTTGTGCTTGAGTTATGGCTTAGGTACTCAAGGAAAATTCATGAACAGTTCATTTACTAAATCAGTAGAAAATGTAGTTGGTGAACACCTTAGATGTATCTTATTTATTCAATTATTACTCAACAAAAAGTTGTTGATTTGTACATCAGTGTCTAACTGTTTGGCAGTGAGCATGATGGTTTCTTTTTTAAAATTTTGATTTAGATTGTTTTTTTTCTGTTGTTTAATATCTTAGTTTAATCCAGAATTCTTGAAAATTATTTTTAACACTTGAGATATTGAAAGTCTTTGTGAATTTGTCTTTGTTTTTTTCACTAACTGCGGCGGTAGTCAAAATACATGTTTCATTATGGTAACATTTTCCTCCTTCAAACCAAGATCCAGTTTTGTTCATCTTTTAAACTGTTAGTAACAATATGTTGCTCGTTAGTGACAAGTGTTACGACATCACACAAAATGACAACTTATTGTGTTCAGTTTTCTTAATGCTGTTGACACTGCAATACTAGCTTTTTTTACTTATTTATTTTTGTTTTCTCAGGAACTTTTATTAGTTTTCATTTCCAAGCTTTTGCTTTCATGCTTTCCGGTCCTGTGCTTCTGGTTTTAATTTTGTTTTTGTTCGTCAACCAACTGCTTCTTTCTGTTTTGTAGTCCCTTTTAGTCCTTTTATTTTATCTTTGATGACATTGTGCAGCAGGCATTATTTTTTCCATATGAGTTTGAACCATCTTATCTTCTTTATTAGTCTTTAGTTTGTATTTTGACATGGCTGCAATATATCGTGCACAACAGAGTAATATGGAAAATAAGTGAGATATGCTTCAATTAACAAATTTGTTCACTAATGTTTATTACTTTATTAGCATTTATTTCAATTTCAATTTGAGGTTCAAAAATCTATCAGTATGTATTTTTATTTGTGCATCATATATATATATATATATAATTTTTATTAGGCAACGCACTAGATGAACTAAATTTAGAAGATTCTTTGAATTTAATACAAATGGACAAAGAATTGAAAGATCAAGAAATTAGTGTTTCAAATTCTATATCAGCTGGATTGGCATCATCAGGGTTATTAGGAACGTCAGCACCAGTAAATATTCCAGGTTCTACAATGTCCAACTTTAGTCCAACAAATTCACCATTGCAACAGTTGCAATCTGGATTCCTTTCATCTAGATTTACACATGCAGATCATATGGACAACTTTTTAAATTCTCACACAAAGATTGGTAATAGTTACAACAACAGTCTATTTGATTTTGCTGGAGCAAACATGTCTCCAGGTAAAAATTATTTCTATACTTACTTAATATATATATATATATATATATATATATATATATATATATATATATATATATGTATATATATATATATGTTGTGTGTGTGTATGTATGTATACAATTAAGCCAGTTATATCAAGTAAAAATCAAAGAACTCAATTGCCCAAGGACCAAAGAAAATTTGTCTGCCATTCAACAAATGTCATCTAAAGTAATTACGTATTAATTAAATAATAATATATTGTAAAATCATACCATTAAAAGACCATCTGAGGCAAATTCAGAGGTATGGTGCTAGCAAACTCTTTGTTAATTGTTGATACTGATGATTTAACAACATTTAATCACTTAGTTACCGTAGCTGCCAAAATTAGTGGCATTTACATGTGTGATTAGTGTACATTAATTCGTACATACATATATTCACATATTCCTCACAATTTTTTTTATTATTATTGGATGCCTGGAAACATTTTATTGTATATTTCACCATCTAAAAAATCTTAGATATATATATATATATATATTTATATATATATATATACAGTAGAACCTCGATTATCCGGACTAATTGTTTTCGATAGGTATCCGGATAATCGAAAATCCGGATAATCCAAATTATGAAGAATAATGTTTTGTTTATCGTAAATAACAAACATACATAGATATTAATAAAAATCAATCCACTACTTGCCACAAACGATTCATCGCCGCCTAATTTTTCATTTAACTGTAATGCCTTTACAGTCTAACAAAGGTCTAGATAATCGTTGTCCTGTTGATCGTTTTTGTAAAAACCAACAATATAGAGCTTCTTCTAAGAGTTCATTTTTTGATCTCATCATTTTCCGATTTTCACTTCCCTCTTCACCATCTAACTAGTGTACGACAAAATTGAATCGGCATTCTTTTTAATATCGCTTATAGTGGATATACCGACACCATACCTATCAGCTAACTTACGGCCGGTTTCGCCTTTTTTTAATGATTTTATAATATTTATTTTATCTTTAAAGGATAACACCACCCTCTTACGCTTTTGCATGTTTAAAAATGTATATATGCACGTCAGAACACACTAGTAAAATTGCAAACGGACTACATAAAGCGATAATGCCGCGCGGAGCAGCGAAACAGCGGCGCGGGCGGAATATGCAAGTTCCGGCGATTATGTCCGGATAATCGCGAATCCGTATAACCGAGGTCCGGATAATCGAGGTTCTACTGTATATATATTAGGGTGGTCCTTAATATAGAAGTTTTTGGATTTCTTGCTCCCAGGGGCTCAAATGCTTACAAATTATTAAAAAACAAATCCCTGAGAGTTCTACCTCTTAATGTTAAACTCCAACATAGTCCACACTCCAATCAAAGTTTCTTGGTTCTTCTTCCTAAGTAAATATTTATTTTGTGATATATATATATATATATATATATATATATATATATCAATTTTTTTTATTAATGATCAAAATAAACAAATACAATCTTATTCTCAAAGTTTTGATTCACCTGTTGCTAAGTTATAAAACAAATCGAGTTTTATTCATGTTATTTTCATATAAACTTTGGTTGCAGTGCAGACTATCTTAACTGTTCTTGTGTGATGTAAAATATCATTCAACTCAACATGGTTTATGTGGTATTATAATTCAAATTGCCGTGAAAATAGCATAGTCACAATCTACTGTAAGTGTTGTGAACATGTTGGTGAAGGCATTGGCTGGCTTTTGAGGCAACGCATTACTACCTTATATTAGTCTTCTCCAAGGATCCTTCTGAGCTTTGGAAAAGTTTATTTTAGCATTTCTTTTTACTGCTTTCGAAGGTCTTATTTAGTTCCCGATATGAAAAATCATGCTAAAATCTTCTGTACCATGTTTTGGATAGGTATTAAATTTATTAGATTGTTAAATGTGTGAAACAAAGGCTCCATTTTTTAATTAACAATTAAATGCTTTTTTTCAAAAGTTGCTCATAATTTCTCTTACAAGAGTAAACACTTGATAAATTCATTCGTTACAATTATTCATATATTGGCTAAATCGTTTTTTATATTATTTTTTATCCTATATTAAATTTTATTTATTTCATACATACATTGGGACTTTTTTTTTTATAGCACGGACTGAAAATTATTTCACATAAATGACTCTTGAAAGCCATTTTTTGTTTTTGCAGAAATTTACAAGTTCATAATCTCAATATTTTTCAAGTATTGAGAGGTTTATGCAACTTTGCTGCACACAAAAAGATGCTTACAGCATGTCTAATTATATAGTTTCATGGTTAATGCACATATATGTATATGCTATGTCAATACATATGTCTCAAGATATATACTTTGTAGCATATTTATTTTTATTATAAAACATGCTATTAATCTTAAATTTAATATGTTCAACACAATTTTTTGTGTGTTAGTGAATAAATCGTTAAAAATACTATTCTGACATTAATAAATTGAAGGCGTTAACTTTATTGAAGGCGTTTATTCACAATATTTCACTTAATATCACTTTAATAAATATTATTGAAATTCAGTGTAAATTTATTTCAAACTTGGTCTCAATTGGCATTTTGAAAATACAGTTACTCTGCGTAAGTATATTAAAATATATATATATGTATATATATATATATATATATATATATATATATATATATATATAAACTTATGTTAAATGCAACTAAGTTCTATAATAATTTTATTTTTAGTTTCAGTTTCAGTTGAAATATCAAATAGGATGTTACTCTGAATTAGGTTTGATGGACATTTTGTAATAGATAGTCCTAATAAGACTAATGGTCTTCATGAAATTTGTATTAACAGAAGTTATTAGCGAGTTCTGTAAAGATACCAAAAGATTTGTTTTAAAATTATATATTGTTATTTATTATATTTATTGTATTCAATATTTTGTTGCATAGACTATGAGAATATTTCTCGATACCAAAATGGAAGAAATGTTATATGATTTTAAAATGTGAGATCATTACATTTTGAATGGCAAAAATGCATACACATATCTTAAGTTTATCAAAGTTGTTGGCTGTCGGATTCATCATGGTTGTTCTATTAAACTTTTTATAGAATAGCTTATTAACGCATTTTTTTTTTTCAGAACTTATATTTTGTATTGTAATTCTGAAAATATGGCAATATATACATTATTTCAAAACAGAAAATATTTTCACATGATGAGATATAGTTTTACAACTTTGATTACATACTGTAAACGATTTAAATCATTCAGAAACTTTTAGAAATTAATGATTATGAATTTGTACAAGTATACAACAACAACAAAATAAACAGGGTTAATTTGCTTTTTTTTCTCTTCGACTTTGTGTATATATATATATATATATATATATATATATATGTTGAAGTAGTTAATTTTGATGTTGAGAAATATGAGTAAGTTCTTCAAGGGCATACATCAAATAAAAGGCAAAGATTTAGAAGTTAATCTTTAATTTTTCCAAACGTTTCGACATAGTATTTTATGTCATCATCAGTGGATCTACAGAATGAATATTGAAAAATTAATATAATCTAAGAAAAAATGACAGAAATTGGAAAAAGAACTATAGATATAAGTAATATAATTATAACAATAACAATTATACTTAACAGATAGATAAACAAGAGAAATGAAAAGTAAAAAGAAATATATACAAACATACAGAAGCGTAATATATATATACATAAATATACACACAAAACAAACATGTATATATGATATGCATGTAAAAACACGTATACATATGCATATATACATACGAATAATACGTATATATAAACATATACATACGGACATGTACATATGTATATATACACATATATACATACATACATATACACATATACATACATACACATATATATATATACATATATATATATATATACATATATATACATATACATACATATGCAATACAGACACATACACATATATAGACAATGAAGGTAACTTACATAAATATGGTCTTACATCAGTAGCTAGCGCAAGGAACACAATTTTGCACTATCATATATACATTAACTTGTTTTTTTTATATTGTTATATTGTGTAATTGTTATTGTTATAATTATATTACTTATATCTATAGTTCTTTTTCCAATTTCTGTCATTTTTTCCTAGATTATATTAATTTTTCAATATTCATTCTGTAGATCCACTGATGATGACATAAAATACTATGTCGAAACGTTTGGAAAAATTAAAGATTAACTTCTAAATCTTTGCCTTTTATTTGATGTATGCCCTTGAAGAACTTACTCATATATATATATATATATATATATATATACATATATACACACACACACACAAACAAACAAGTGTATATGCATGCATGCATAATTCAGAATTTGATGTTAACATATGTGTTAACAAAGTCTAATAATCAGGAATACCATCAATAAAAGAGAAATTTCTTTTAAAAATTTATTTCTAGTCCTTACGTTCTGGCTGTAATCCTAGCCTTCATTCGATGGAAATATTTGTAAAATAATATCTTAGTGTTTTAAAAAGAAAATTCAATAATCCATGATATGAGGATATGGTAATGCGCTACACTATATATAAATATTAAACTTAAAATTAAAGTAATATTTTACAATTATACTAACATTCAAATACCACAAAATAGTAAGTTTGCAATATATGTGTTATCTGTAACCCTATATAATATACCATGGATTAGTATGCAAATTTAATAAGCCATACCATGGATTCTATTTCCAACACTAAGATTAGACAATACGTGCACATGTAGAGTGCAGTTATTGAGAATATTATTTTCTATAAAATATAAAATCATGTTCATTCTGTACTACTTACAAATGTACAGTATAAATAAATGTTCTGAAAATCTTAGTGAATCTAAGAATGAGTATTACAAGGATTGAAGATTTCCTGATATTATTTGTCCAACACTCATCTGTTGTCTGATTTATGTCTTATTCAATGTCTTATTATTTATTATTAATAACTATATAGAAATAAAATTCCAGATATTTCAAACCAATGGCAAAATATAATACAAATACAAATATACAACATCATAATATGCTTACATAATTTTCGTTTATTTTAGGTAGTAGAAACCATAACACTTTCTCAATGTCACCATCGAGTGTCGGAGAAATTAGCAGACTACGTGATGAATTAAACACTGCAACAGCTCAAAAGCTAGCATGGGAAGATAGAGTATTACAAGCCAGGACTGCTTGTGAGGCATGGCAAAGAGAAACAGAGGAAGCAACTAGAAAAGCGAGTATTGCTGAGCAACAAAGGGATGAAGCTGTAGGTCGGATGGCACAATTAAAAATGGACCTAGAGCAATTGCAAAGAGGCAGTTTTATTCATGGGATGCCAAGGCAAGAACTGAGAACATTGACCTTGCCGAAATTAAAAGCTTTGCAAGCTCAATTAAGGGCTGACTTGGAAGAAGTAGAAAAGGTTCTATATGTAGAAACGGCAGCTAAATGCATGAAATGCGAAGAGCAAAACAGATCAGTAACTTTAGCGCCATGCA